GCTTTTGTAGTCTTTGGTACCTAACTTGAGATGCCTTAAAGTGACCTGAGTTTCCAAAAGTGCTAAGCACACCAAATCAAGCCCCTTTTAAGGTGTCTCAAGTTGGGCACTGAAGAGCACTAGTGGTGTAAAAATTTAAACTTGTGCAAACCCCTGGCTTCATTACTGCAGAATTTATTATTAGTGATGATGATTCATATGATGGGGAAAAACAGCTTGACTTTCAGCTGGTAGGTAGAAAAGCCACCGTTTCACTTTTATATACTCAGCATGTCTCTAATGGAAATAACTGAAAGACACTAAACATAAACCACATGATGCAGTTTGTTGAGTTATATTTTAAATACTTGACCATTATTGATAAACTCAGTGTGCGACCATATGAAAACAGTTCAGAGATCTGTTAGCAGTGACCAGACTGGGAGGTCACTGCTATAAATTGTCATAGAGGACCACAGAGGAAAATCAATATGAATAATGAATATTTTCCATGCAAAACCCCAAAAGGGAGTATATTATTTTGTTAAAAAAATACTTTGTTTTTAATCATGTTTACAAAAAACAAAATTCCTATTTTGTCTCCTTAATAATACTGTGGACTATTAAAACTGAAAGGAATTTTAAATATCTAGGGTTAGATCCTCAGCTGGTGTAAATCATCATAGGTTCATTGACTCAATTGAGCTACGCTGATTTACACCAAATGAGGATGAGTTCTCCAGTCTTGCACCTTCTGGAATCATTAACAGCTCTGCAAAGTGGATAGAAAACATTATGAAATCAGAAACGTTGTTTTTTACATGTTCTCTGGCATCACTGTTCTTTTTAGCGTACATACAACATGCCTCAAGTGGCACGTAACCAGGAATCTTCACAGAATTTGGTCCGCCAGTTGGATCATTAGCTTCTCCAGGTTGGGTACTAACGTGGAGTGCCATGTGAATGCTGATCCACTGTGCTGAGATGTAAATGATTACGCCAGGAGCAAGGCAGTGGAGATCACCCCCCTCCCCTTTTTTTTTAACCATTTATTCAGTTTGTGTTTCATTTAGTCTGTACAAAGAAAATAGGTTTATCAAGTAGTTGTTCTCATTCACTAGAACAGTGCTACAATGTTTGGGATGCACATAATATAGAGGAAAGTTAACTCTAAAAGTAACACTTGGGCCTTAAAAAAAACAAACAAACCCTATTAGCTATTGTAAAAAATTTTGTTAAAAATAATATCATTTAAATGTTAGGCTTGAATTGCGTGACAGTATCAGAGGAACAAAGGACTTTCCCGATGGATCAGGAGGTCATCTAGTCCAGTATTCTGTCTCATCTGGCCTATTGGTGAACATGAGCCAAAGTCCCCTTGGCTTCCCTCTGAATGAAATGTAAGGCACGGACAATACAGAAAATGAAAAAAATGGTATTAGTGAGAAGGGGGTAAAATGGCAGAGGACTCCGATGGGGGAGGTTTGGTTGGAAGTTGGGACTTCATGGGGACATGCTGCCCTCTTGAAGCTTGCCTTGTTCCTCAACACCTTCCACGCTGGGCCCCTGTCTACAGTTGCTGCCTAAATTGCACAGCTGTTCCCCCTGCTGGGAGGAGGCTGGAATTGCAGCCAGCTAGTTCTTTAGCAGGAGAGCTAGGTGGCTTTCCTTAATTCTATAGCCAGCCTTTTATATGCAACTTGTTTGCAGTTTCATTTATATTGTTTCCTTTTTTTCACAAACAGACATATCTTATTTTTAGTATTTTTCCTAACTTTCCAGCTACATAAGAGAGCAAAGGAAGATGCAAGAAACCACACCATTGATAAATCTGGGCTAATCTGTCGCCTCAAGGAAGTCTCCCCCTAATCCTTAATAACTAAAATCTCCATGCTTCCAGGCTTAAAACAATCTTTATCTCCCTCCCAAAACTCATCTTTTAGCATTAACTGTTATAACTTTGGATATTCTGTTATCTCGCTGTGTTTGTGTCTAATTACTTTTTGAATCTTGCAAATTTCTTGGCCCCTTCCAAAAAAAAAAAAAATTGAAAAACCTGTTAACAGTATAGATGGATGTATGGAAGAGGTCCAGAAGGCTTACACTCCTCTAGTTTTTAATAACAAAGCATCTCTCATATGAAATAAAGTCTCTGGGCAGCGTTTGTCCCAATTTTTGAAGTATCAAAAAAGATAAGAGATGAATCAGCAAGACCCATAGCCTGAGGTTAACTTCAAAAGCTAGAGCTCTCTTTCTTTCACTGTAATCTAGAAGTGTGTGATAGTCAACCCCTTTTCTTTCCACTGCTTGATATTTTGGGATTTAAGCAGTGTAACACACCCAAAGAGATCAAAGGGTTCAAGAACTCCTGAACACATGATAAAGCCAAAAGATGCAGTCACGGTCAAGCTATTAAAATAAAATTAATGTTTATCCATTGAGATCAGACCTCTATCCTCATTAAAGTATAATGCTCAAAGAATCCTTACAGGTGCAGAAACCGGCAGAAGGCTCCCCACAGGTACTCTCTGTGTGTGTAGATGTGAACCCTAGGATAGCTGAGTTCTGCCTCCCCATAGGCACATAACCCTTCAGGATGTCCACAGTAATTTAATACTGATTTATGTCTGACTTAGTTTACCTGGTTTCTGCCTCTGCATTTTGACATCCTTTCCTGTTCCCCCACCCCCAAGAAGGTGGCAGTACTGTCCAGGGGATGAAAGGAGGCTGGGCAAGCTGCGAAGTGTGCTGTGTTGATGCAGGCTCTCCACTCTGAGGAGTTGGTCTGTGCCGGAATTTCCAGGATCGACTGGGTCTTTAGGTAGCATTCTCTGCTCCTTTTATTTAGTGCACTCCAAACCTCCGGAATGGAAGCATGAAAATTTGCATGTATAAACTCAAAGCTTCCAGACCTTTACACATACTTAGCCCTAAACTCACGAGAAAATGTAGTAAGAGAGAATTCGCTTTGGTGTTTGCGTTGTATGTAACTATAGATACAGGATAAATAGTGTTTTACAACAAGCGTGAAAGAGTTAAATCAATTTTTAACATAGGAGGGAATAAAGTAGAAACTGAAACATTCAGAGATTAAAAAGATCATGAATAGCCTCATCTTCTTCCTCCTTATGACCAAGAAATGTCAAATTATGAGAGAGAATGAAATCACCCAAAATGGTTCACTAAAAGCAAGAGGGTTTCAAAGTGTCAACTGAAATGCTTCAAAAACCAAACTCTCTCAAATCCCAGATCATTAACCAAATACTGTTAAAGTATAGGTGAGATTAAAAAAAAGTATAATAAATACATTTGGTAGATTAAATCAGTCTTTTTATTGTTGTCATAAATATAAAGGGAAGGGTAAACCCCTTTAAAATCCCTCCTGGCCAGAGGAAAACTCCTCTCACCTGTAAAGGGTTAAGAAGCTAAAGGTAACCTCGCTGGCACCTGACCAAAATGACCAATGAGGAGACAAGATACTTTCAAAAGCTGGGAGGAGGGAGAGAAACAAAGGGTCTCTCTGCCTGTCTATATGCTGTTTCTGCCGGGGATAGACCAGGAATGGAGTCTTAGAACTTTTAATAAGTAATCTAGCTAGGTATGCGTTAGATTATGATTTCTTTAAATGGCTGAGAAAAGAATTGTGCTGAATAGAATAACTATTTCTGTCTGTGTATCTTTTTTGTAACTTAAGGTTTTGCCTAGAGGGGTTCTCTATGTTTTGAATCTAATTACCCTGTAAGATATCTACCATCCTGATTTTACAGAGGTGATTTCTTTACTTCTATTTACTTCTATTTCTATTAAAAGTCGTCTTCTAAGAAAACTGAATGCTTTTTCATTGTTCTCAGATCCAAGGGTATGGGTCTGTGGTCACCTATGCAAATTGGTGAGGCTTTTTATCCAATGTTTCCCAGGAAAGGGGGGGGTGCAAGTGTTGGGAGGATTGTTCATTGTTCTTAAGATCCAAGGGTCTGGGTCTGTAGTCACCTAGGCAAATTGGTGAGGCTTTTTACCAAACCTTGTCCAGGAAGTGGGGTGCAAGGTTTTGGGAAGTATTTTGGGGGGAAAGACGTTTCCAAACAGCTCTTCCCCAGTAACCAGTATTTGTTTGGTGGTGGTAGCGGCCAATCCAAGGACAAAGGGTGGAATATTTTGTACCTTGGGGAAGTTTTGACCTAAGCTGGTAAAGATAAGCTTAGGAGGTTTTTCATGCAGGTCCCCACATCTGTACCCTAGAGTTCAGAGTGGGGGAGGAACCTTGACAATTGTATATGCTAAAACCTGAATTCAGGCACTTTCTTTTTCTCCTGCAACAGACATTGATCTCATTAAAACCCAAATATTACTTAACTGGGCTAACATTTTCAAATCTGTGTGCCTGTGGTTATGTACTGTTATACAAGGGCCTAATTTTCAATGGTGCTGAGCACCTTAATTTAAAGATTGTAGCATGAATTCACCCCAGACTTTGGAAAGTTTTCTGCCAAACCCTGTTGCTCCAGGGTCCAGAACCTGCCAGCACTGTCCACCCGGTGGGTGGAGCTAGACAAACCATGGGTGATTTAACTCCGCTTCTCTGACTGACTCCAGACTTGTGCAAAACTGCCAGAGTTCTCTACAAGTTTTTGTGTACAAATTTTTCATTTTCATTAATTCAATGATTTTTCACAAGTGCTTATGAAATTGTTCCAGGACAATATTTTGTTTCTTCTGTAATGAAATGCAGATTTTCCTGTGAGATGGTTTTCATGGCAGATTTCTGTCTAACCCCCCAGACAGAATGGTTTTATTTTCACTGGATATGCAAGTCTCAGGAGTTGTAGTACACAAATGTGTGTAAAAAGAAAATGTCACTTAGCAAGAGTATAAAACTACTTTGAAGCCTAATAATTTCTACGAAGCATGGGAAACAATCTGCATAAAATATATGAACAGCTGGGTATACCTTTTGAAAGTAGACTAAAATATTTTATACCTTTGTCAATCACTGTCACTATTTTCATGTTTTTGTTTTACAGTGTGTGCTGTATTTGTGGGCCTTGAAAATCCTTTATCCCAAAACACTGTTTTTACTTCGTGGGAATCATGAATGTAGACATTTAACAGAGTATTTCACATTTAAACAAGAATGTAAGTGTGCTTTAAATTCACAACCTCTTCCATATTACATTGTAATTGTTTGTTACTTAGTAAGTACTCAAGTAGTACTTAATGTCAATGATTTTGCATCCTTAAACCATCCTTCTCTGAAGGAAAACCCACTGAAGGAAAAAATATAATACAAAAATCTCTGTTTCAACGTATGGCAAAATGGACAGGATTGGTAATACAAAGGCGTTACAAGGACTGTGTTCTTGTAATCATGGGAAGTCTAAAGATACCTGGGGAAACTTCATCAAATACTGTAGATGTTGGGGAAGCCACAGTTTCTGCACTTCTGTTCTATTTCCAGGCCCCGGTGCCTGCAAAACAAAAAGCATTATTGTCTTGGTGTCTCTGCTACCATTGATCTCTTAGTGCACAACTGTGCACTCTCTCTTCGTTCAGTTTGGGGTCGGAACAAATAACACTTCTTAACATTACCTTTCCAGGTAAGCTAATGTAGGTTGGAGAGGGATTGTAGTCCTCCACCAGGATTATTGTTGTATTAACGAATACTGGGATACTTCAAAGATTCTTGGCTGTAGACCTTGATTTGCACAATGAATAACCTGTGTCTGCAGTAGTATAAACTGAAGCCATTGCACGAGTCCACATTCCCACTTTAACATAAAGGATGGGAAAAATGTTAATTGGCTCAAATGCTCCATGGTTTACTGAGTTTAATATGCATATTGGTAAATTAACATTTTGGATTCATTGTATTAGCTCATTCATTTCACAGTGATGTTTCTTCAGATAATTAATTACAAGAATGTGGGTTAAAGTTCAGATTCCTTTGCATAGAGCTGTTCTTTATGGGAAATCATTTACTAGAGAAGAATAACTTTTCTACAGCATTTCAAAGCTTTCTATGGAATTTCTTAACAGCAATATAATTCTGTATTAAATTTGTTGGTTTAACACTTCTGTAGAAAGAAAAATTCTGTATTAAATTCTGTAAGCTTTTAGACTAACTTCTATGGAATGCTGTTGAAGTTCTATAGAATCTTAGTCGTTTCATCTCTATTAAATTATGTAGAATTTTTCCCACAGCATGTAGAAGTAACCCTGATCCCTAGTGCCCAAAATGTGGGTGGGTGGGGGGGCGGGGGAGACGGGACTCAGGACTCAGTATGTACAATGATTTATTTTCTGTAAAATATTATTTAGGATTTAATGATATAGTTCTACTCCCATTGAAGTGTGTTGGCCCTTTCTAGTTGAGAGCAGGACCAAGCCCTTAAATTACAGAAATATTTTTCTTTAAAATACCGAACACCATCTTCTGATACCATCTTACTATCCAAAAGGTAAAATAAAGTATTCAGAACGAGTATATGATGCCTGCATGGATGCCTTTGACTGCCTTCCCTTGGCTGCTCTGATGAACCAACAATTCCTGTGTGTACATGGTGGCTTGTCTCCAGAGATCAACACTTTAGATGACATCAGAAAAGTAAGTCTGGGTACTGTTCAAATCTAATAAACACTAAAACCATGTATTAACAAAACATGAGATTTTTTTTTTCAATGTAGTTAATTTGTTTAAGATTTATAGGGAAAACGACTGGGTTTTTCATTGTCACATTGCATTCAAACTAATCTTGAACACTGTCGTCCTTTTCTGGCCTTTCTAAAACAAGAAAAAGGGAAATAGCTATAATTTGTACCTTTATTTTATTGAAGCCACCAAAATCTTTGTCAGTAATAAAATGTAGGATTCATCATCTTTGCTTTTTGAAAAATTAATGTAAAGTAAAGAAGTTTGGAAGCGTAGTCAAATGTGGAGTCATTAGATCATTCCTTTCTTTTAGAACATTTTAAGCATCCTGTTGATTATTTGTGAGTTGAAATAATTGAATTTTGTGCATTTATTTGGAGAAACAAAACACGTGTGTACACGTGTGGGCTTGTATATAACTATACTTGCAACAAACATAACAACAGCATTTTATATGGCAACTAAAATAGCTTCAGAGATGGGTCGTGAGCTTTTTTGAAAATCTGGCCCTCATTTATGTGCCTTAATGGGAGCGGAGCTATTTTGAAAATCTGGTTGCAATAGTGGGTACCTGGCATGTGAAAATCTGTCCCAGAGCTTTTTTGAATTCTGGCTCTGTGTTCACTTTTGCACCTTCCGATATAAAACTGAACCTGATAAGCTATTCTCATTGGCTGGGTAGCAGAATCAGTGAAAAGACAGCTAGACGTGCCTCAGGCTGTATCCTGTGTAACCTGCTCTGTGCCTCACTGGTTGCAGTATGACTCTGATATGGAGGAGCAGAGAAGCAGCAGCGTTCTCCTCCTTCCCCTCCTTTCAATTCAGAGTGCACCAGTTTTTCTTGAGACAAGTGGACAGGAACAAACCGAGAAAGCAAGAAATGCCTTACTCCATATGTCTTACCTCCATCACACTAATGCTGTGGCAATGTGTTTGCAGTGAAACTAATGACATACTCTAAATTCAGGCAGTCAAAATGGGAACCAGGAATTGCCTTGTTACATGTGAATGTCCGTCGAACTCTTAATATGTTTTAGGAGGTTGATTTTCTACCACAGAGGGAGGAAATGCTCATATACTTTTTGTTCCCTATCTATCGGTCAGTATTGCTTTGAATTACCCTGCAAAATTTTCTCTCTGTAAACTGAGGAGACTGATGGCGAGGGTTACCTGGACAAGAGTCCTGTCTTTGGAGACAAGAGTCTTTGTGATTCCTGTCTTGCATTTTTTTCCAAGTAGAACAGTCTCCAGTTCTGCTGCGACAATGAAGATGATACTGATTCTTCTTGACATTTGTCCCTTGGGAGACCTGCCCCAATTCTGAAAAAATGTTTCTAAAACCTTTCATTTGTGCAGTTTCATTTGTGCATTTCTCCCAAGAAAATGTTGCTGTGTGCTGTCTTCTAATTGCATAGCATGGCAGACCATTTATTCAGTGTTCAGTGCTTGATGAGTAATATGTGACAGCTGATGATCACATTTTCCTTAGCCATCATTTGAATAAACAGTATAGACTCCCTGATTCAAAGGCTCTTTCTAAACGTTATTTTTTCGTTACAATCCACTGTGCCATTCAAGCCTACTTTCCCCTGAAGGTCCATATCCCTCTCAGGCAAGGTCAATAATGCTTTTGGAAAAAATCCTTCCAAACTGCCTGTTCTCAGTCTATTCCTTGTGTGCATCCAGGGACCTCCTGAGGTGGCTTAATGAATTTTTTGGCTGCTGCTTGCAAGAAATCCAGCCATTCTCTCTGGAAAGTGATTTCTTTCTGTGACCTTTCTTTCTGTTTCCAATGTGATATAGTGCAAGATGTCTTCTGCTTGCTATCAGTAATAGATCTGCTGTTGCTGGCATTAGAAAGAGCCTTGCATGTGAATTGCAATGGAGATTTACTGCCCCTTGCCTTTCCTGTTAAAGGTGGTAATTTCATTTCTCTTGGCCTAAGCCTTAGGGTGAGATTCTCAAAGGACCTTAGTTTTGGCCTAACTCCTCTTCTATTGCAGAGCAGAGCTAGGCCAATGCTGAGCACTTCGGAAAATCCTACTTTTAAAAGACACTTTGTGTTGTGAACTCTCTCTAGTCTAGATTCACTACCTAAAAGATCACACTTAGAAGCTTAGTGAGAAAAAGTGAAAGAAATAAATTTTGCATTTAGTTAAAGTGGATGCATCTGCAGTCATTTTATCTCTTGTGGGAAGTGAACTCCGCATTCTGGGTCCAGCTCCTATCCAAGTTCTGTGTCTGACATGCCAAAGCCTTCTCTCCTATTGCCAGACCGTTTCATTGTTCCAGTGGAACTTAGTTGTTGTGTGAAGTCATAGTCTCAGAAGGAGAACAACAACTCAGGAAGCTAGGGTCAATCCACAGAGGCCTTGGAATACCAGGGGAAAGATCTTGAACTGGAATCTGGATTCAACTGGGAATCATTACAGATAGTTGTGAGCCTGATATGTTCATAACAACCTTAGATTCTTCACTTGGTTCCATTGATTTAGGGTGAAAAATGCCTAGCTCACCTCCTCAACCCCAGTGGTTTTCTCACTAAGCCACACAAATGCACAAAACTCTGAACATTTATCAAGCTGTTTTCCTGTTGGCACATCTACACAGCCTGCAGAAGTGAGCCTCCCTGCCTGAGTCAACAGACTCATGCAAGTGGGACTCGCACCAGGATTCTAAAAATGATTGTGTAGACTGCACTTTGAAGTTGTGGCTTGAGCTGGAGTCTGGGCTCTGAAGCCCAGGGAGGAGGATGGGCTTCAGAGTCTGAGTGTTTAACCAGGGATTGGAGGCTTACTTCTGCAGGCTGTGCAGACATACCCTTACAGGCTAAGGAGGAGAGAGAGAGAGAGAGACATATGTTGCTTATATTTCAGTTAACTTGGAAGGCCTTCAGGTGCAAGAGTGAGGGAGCCATGTGTGATGCTCTGGGGCTTCACCCAGACCAGTTAAGGGGTTGTGTCACCGGGTGCCCTGTAACCAGATGACACTAAACTGGGAGGAGTTGTAGATATGCTGGAGGGTAGGGATAGGATACAGAGGGACCTAGACAAATTGGAGGATTGGGCCAAAAGAAATCTGATGAGGTTTAACAAGGAGAAGTGCGAAGTCCTGCACTTAGGACGGAAGAATCCCATGCACTGCTACAGACTAAGGACCGAGAAGCTGGATATGGTCAACAGTGTGCCCTCTTAGTCCCTGTCTTCCTACTCAGTGTGCCCTTGTTGCCAAGAAGGCTAACAGCATTTTGGGCTGTAAAAGTAGGAGCATTGCCAGCAGATTGAGGGACGTGATCATTCCCCTCTATTCGGCATTGGTGAGGCCTCATCTGGAGTACTGTGTCCAGTTTTGGGCCCCACACTACAAGAAGGATGTGGAAAAATTGGAGAGAGTCCAGCGGAGGGCAACAAAAATGATTAGGGGGCCTGAGCACGTGATTTACAAGGAGAGGCTGAGGGAACTGGGATTATTTAGTCTGCAGAAGAGAAGAATGAGGGGGGATTTGATAGCTGCTTTCAACTACCTGAAAGGGGGTTCCAAGGAGGATGGATTTAGATGGATTTAGATTTTAGGATGGATTTTCTCAGTGGTAGCAGATGACAGAACAAGGAGCAATGGTCTCAAGTTGCAGTGGGGGAGGTTTAGGTTGGATGTTAGGACTTTTTCACAAGGAGGGTGGTGAAGTACTGGAATGGGTTACCTAGGGAGGTGGTGGAATCTCCTTCCTGAGAGGTTTTCAAGGTCAGGCTTGACAAAGCCCTTGCTGGGATGATTTAGTTGGGGTTTGGTCCTGCTTTGAGCAGGGGGTTGGACTAGATGACCTCCTGAGGTCCCTTCCAACACTGATAGTCTATGATTCTATGATATTCTATGAACCCTGGGTGCTTCTGTGCTGCACAGCTTTGGCTCAGAACCTTGACACCAGCAGCACAATGACCTCATCCTGGCCTCCACCAGCCTGGTTACTCCTTGCAGCAGAGTGATACCAAGAGTCCTTCCAGTTCTAAGTCTCCCCAAAACCATCTCCCCTGCAGTGCTCAGCCCCTCTCACTGTAGCACTCACAAACCTTATCAAGTTTGCTACTCCTTTAAAGAGACAGTACACAGCACCAGTCTGTTAGTTTGGCCAAGGATTTTATTCTTCCGTTCAAAACAGTGCACTGAAATGGTTTTGTAATAAAACAAGATTGTTTTGTGGCAGAGCACCAGCTTTGTCTCAGTGAGTCCTGCGCTTCTAGGTGGTTAGGGTTTGCCTCAGAGATTTGCTGTGACCCTCAGTGTAGCCTCTCTCCCCTCCTAGAGGCAAGGCTTACAGCTTACTGAGTCACCGTCATCAGCCAGTCAACAGGTTTGGTGTAAGAACCCTCTTTAGTCCCTGTCTTCCTACTCAGGGAGTATTATTGTAGAGCTGAGGGGGGGTGGGGTTAGGGGGAACCCGGGCCCACCCTCTTCTCCAGGTTCTAGCCCAGGGACCCTAATTGGCAAAGGAAACATGTAGTTTTCCTATACTACTGGAGCTTTAGCCCTTCCCTGGGCTACTTCCCAAATGGCCCCTCCTAGCACCCTCATTGGTACCTGACCATGCTTGTTCTCCTGGGTCTTTTACTGCGCACCTTCTTTCTCCCAGTCTTCCCACAACACACTTTCCTACTCCCAGCTCCTACCAGCCGGCCTCTCTGAAGGGGCTTCCTTGTAAACTACTCCCAGACGGTTCTAAATGGGCTTCAGGTGATCTGATTAGCCTGTTTCCTTTGATTGTTTCTAATCAGTTCTTAATTGGTTCCAGGCGTCTTATGGAGTCTGCCTGACTTAATTGCTTCTAGCACCTTCCTGACTTCTCTGGGGTAGCCCCTGCCCTGGTGACTCAAGAAACAGAAAACTATTCCTCCAGTGTGTTTTTCTTCTACCAGACTCTTGCACCCAACCGGTCTGGGTCTGTCACAGTTTATTAACAA